GCGGCCTTTTATGTTGCTCTTTAATTTGAAACCCAGATACACACAGCTTGAAGAACTAGAAGAGTGACCCTCGCCCTTCAGGGTGGCAGGGTTTGGATGACAAACACATCTCCTAGCAAGCCTGTGGGAAGCTGCCAGACTCGGTCCGAGGAGCTGCTGTTCCCCATCCCCGCTCGTCCCCTGTGCCCGTGGCGGGGACCGTGTCAAGTCCTGCGTCACGAGCGGCTCACGTCTGCCGCTATCTCCTCTGACGCAGCTGTGGGCCTCGCCTCTCCTGCCCCACCACCGCCCCAAGGCTGCCCTCGGATCTGCCCCTCGTGGGCGTCCCAGCCTCAGCCAACTCCTCTGTGATGTCTGGGATGCGTCAGGGCCCGTGGGGTTTCTTTGTACCTGGGCAACTCCCCCCAGGGCCTGTGTCTCAGTTCGATGTGCTTTCTCGGTCATTAAAGACATGATTTCCCCACGCTGCGCCTCCTTTGTATGGTGCGAGTGAGTCCTGCTGCTCGGCTCAGCGATAGGACAGCGTGGCCACATGGGAAGGTGCGGGCGGGACAGGAAGTTGCTGGGCGGAAGGGCACTTCCGGGGGAGGCCTGTTCCTGTGTGGCCACCTGGGCCCTGGTGGTACCCGCTGCCTGCTTCGAGAACTCGCCTGCTGCTCATGCGTGCATCCTGGTGACACTGTGGAGGGTGGGGCAATGGAACCAGCACCGCGGCGTGGTGTGTCCCAAGGACAACGTGAGTTCTGCCCCTGGGTGGTGACAGCCCCCGGTGTGGAGCAGCTGTCTCCTCAGGGGCCACCGGCGCCAAGGTTAAACCAAGCGCCAGGGGGTGCGCTCTGGCCCCAGCAGGCTCCTGGAGAAAGAGGTCGCCCTGGCAAACCCACAGGACCTGCCAGGCTCCCCAGACCCTGCCAGGAGCAGTGAAAGGGCCGACCTGACCCTGCCCCGGGACGTCCACCTGATCTCTGTGTATCCAGTTCTGCTGCTGCTTAAGAAACAACCAAAGCAGCCAAGCCCAGCAGCCAGGCGAGCGGAGTCGCTGTTTCCAGCTGCACCCGCCCTCTCCGCAGCCTGGGTAGGGAGCTGTCGAATCCCTCTTGGGGAGATAAAGCCTGCGCTGTGGCACTGGCCAGCTGCTTGCCCGATAGGCCACTTGGTTGCTGGGCCTTGGCCGAGCCTGGACGATGGTCCCTTGGGGGCTGGGTGCCCTCTACACCCACCTTTTCCAGCGGCAGCTGGGAGCTGCCCGAACGAAGACCCCCCCCCCAGCTCCTCTGCCCACCTCAGGCCATTGGTCCACACGTGCCACACCTGAACATCCTCGCCCAGGTGGGGCCCAGCGCCCCAGAGGCCTGCAGAGCCCAGATGGGCCAGAAGGAAGTTCAGTCCCCCCCAGGGCAAGGCTGCGTGGGTGACCCGACCCATGATCCCATTCTGGTGTGGGATCTCCTGGTGCTTTTTCCCAAAAAGCCCCATGCGAAAAGTGCTGCTCCTACTGGGAGCTGGGAGCTCCTCTAGACCCTCCAGCCTCACCCATCACTGCATCTTCTGACCCCAAGCTGTGGGGATGCAGGGCTCCTTGAAGAAACAGACTGTTCCCCACACACGGCCCAACAGGCCCAGACCCTCCAGGCCCTGTGCTCAGCTCTGTGCAGAGAGGGAGCCGAGTCCCCTGTGTCAACTCGGCGCTGTACCCCATCAAGTCCCAGCTGAGCCTGCGTCCTTTGTGGCTGTCCTCACCCCCTGTGCGGAGACCCTCCCTGATGACACTGCCTCACCTCTGGCCCCTGCAGCTGGGCTGTGGCTGTGACCAGAGCAGTGCGTGCCTGTGGACAGGCCGGCTGTGGAAGCAAGTTCAATGCCTGTTTTTTCACCCTCACTCAAAATAACCCAGCAGATTTTGAACTTCCTGCTTGGTTGAAAAATAGAGCTTGTACCCAGCAATCACACTGCACTTTCACTGCCACCCCTGATGAGGCAATCAGCGATGCCCCAAGAGGGGATGCAGCTCCCAGTTTAGTTCTGAACCTGCAAAGGCATGAAGAGACAATTACATTACAAGCAAGATCCAATGCCCATCCGCTCGGCTGCTGCTTCATGGGGTTGACTTTTGGGTGAGTTCTGAATTCGAATGCCGCCTTGGGCCTCTGGGCCAGGAACTGCGCACAGTAGGGGCCGGTGGGACAGAGGGGCACTGCTGCTCTGCCACCTGCTGCTCCAGGACCTTGGCCAGGCCTCACCCCCACCCTGGACCTGTTTCCTCTGCTCCAAGTGGGTGTCTGGGCCTGGGGTCTGCCGTGCTCCCTGTGCCGCATTCACACTCGAGGTCGCCGTGCTGACCCTGCTCAGTGGGGTGGAGCATTGCAACCCCATGCGGGGACTTCCAGAAAGGGCCACAGGGAGCCAGGGCTTCCTACACCAGGCTCCCAGAGCCCGGGACAGGCTCCGCCATGGCGGGAGGGTGTGGCCACACATTGCCTGCTCCTGTTCCATTTGGGGTTTTGATTGTTTTGGTTTGTTTTCATTTTTATTTTGAAACAATTATAGATTTGCAGGAAGGCCTTTGTACCTTCCTAGTTTCCCCCAGCGGACACATCTTAGTGAGCCGACTGCAACATCAACAGCGGAAGTAGACATGGTACAGCCAGGCATGGAGGCACATGCCTGTACTCCCAGCACTTAAGAGGCTGAGGCAGGAGGGTCACAAGTTCAAGGTCAGCCTCGAACCCTCTCAAAACAAAACGAAATAGAAATGGACACTGGTGCAACACGTGTGTGTTTAGACTGTGACATCACATGCAGATCTGTGTAAACACCAACACGATCTCCGTTCCATCCCCACAGAGACCTGCCTGTGGGACCCTCACAGTCGGCCTTGCCTCCTTCCTCTGGGAGGGGCTCTGTCCCGGGCCACTGGCAGCCATTCACCTGCTTGCCATTTCTGCTGCTGTCACAGCGAAGACTCTATAAACGCAGGTCTCTCCAGTGGTCTTTCAGGATTGGCACTTCTTCTCATTCAGCCTAATGCTCCTGAGATCTCTGTTAGCTGCTTCCTGCCACTGTGACAAAACACCTAAGAGAGCACAGGAGGAAAGGGATGTCTCGGCACATGGTTTCAGAGGTGTCTTCCACGGTCAGCTGCCTGTGTGGCTTTTCTGCCTGCGAAGGGGCGGAAACATCACGGGAAAAAGGAAGCTGCTCAGCTCGTGGCAGCCAGAAGCAGAAAGGGAGAGAGCCGGAGGGAAGGGCCATATACGGTCCCCGAGGGCGCCCTTCAACACCTCCACCTCCAAGAACCCACTCAGCTGTGAGGTCCTCCGTGGATTCATCCATCCATGAGGCCAGTGCCCTCAAGTCTGATCGCTTCCCAGAGCCTCACCCAGTAGCCTCTGGGGACATTTAGACCCAAACCACAGCAAGATCCTTCCAAGGGCACCGCGTGTTCAGAGGGCTCATTCTCTCTTATTGCCAAGGAGCAGTAGTATCCCTACTGTGTGTGCCTGTCTGTCTCCATCTCCCCGTCTCTGGCTCTATCTCCAGCTCCGTGCAGATGGAGCTCCAGCCTCGGACCTGCTGGGCCAGCACTCTGCCCTGCATCACACCCCTCTCACCTAGCAAATGCCATGTCAGGAAAGGCAGAAGTAAGATGTCCCCTCGGCACAATTCTGCCTCCTGGACCCTGTCCTGCAATGCAGAGGGGTTGAGGACGGACTGAGGTCCGCAGCCCTCTTGGTCTGAACAGTCTTCTGGCCTGCAGCGAGGCTGGCTTGGAGGGCTGTGCTGGGGCTTGCGCACAACCCTGGTGCTGCTGGGTCAGGCTGCACCAGATCACAGAGGCGAGGCCAGTCCCCCTCTGACCTGTCTGTGGGTCCATCCCTTCCCCTGGCTGGAATTCTGCCAGGAGCTGGTCAGGAGTTTTTCCTGGCTCAGGCCAGGAAGACATTTCAGCCACGCAGCTGAGAAGTTGACTGGGCCCACGTAGGGCCACAGCCTGGCTGTCGCCCGGGGATCCCCTGTGCAGAGCCGGACTCGGGCCTGCCAGCACTGACTCCTGCTGTCCCACAGCCATCTGAGGTGCCCCTCCCCTTGTCTGCTCTTCCCTCTCGGCTTGGGCAGTGGAGCCAGGGAGGCTCTAGGTTGCTTCTGGTCTGTGCTTCAAGGCTGCTCTTGCAGACACCCCAGGAGTGGCAGGGGTGCAGGGCCCAGGAGAGAAGAACCAAAGCTCAGTCCCCTCCACCTTCCTGCCAAGAAGCCCAGAGAGTGGGCCCAGAGGGACCAAGATGGATCCAGTGGCTGCCGGTGACTCTGAGGCCGTGGCTGGGCGCCACAGGACCAGTGTGGGGGGGTGCGATGGCAGCATTTTATCCACATCCTCATCACCCTCATGTCAAGGTGTCACTCACAAATCCAAGCTTGGGTGAGGTGCAGTGAAAGCACACACTGCTGTTGAACAGGTAATAGAGCCTCTTTTTCTAGAAATTCTTTGAACCAGGGAATGAATCCCTATTCCTGGAATGCAAGGGTTTCCATGGACCAATGCGTTGAATGTAAGTCGGGTGTGTGGTGCGGTTGACTAAGAGTGAAGTTAGCTATGGGCTGCATTAGGGGAAACACAGCTGCTGGAAAGAGGGAGGTGACAAACGCTGTGCACCAGAGTGACCACTGCTGGAGCTGCGCGTTCAGTTCAAGACCTGTTCCAGGCAGGGCTCCTAGGAGGAAGCAACCCTGACCAATTTAAACAAAAGAAGTTTCACCCAAAGATGTCAGAGGACTCCTACAACTCCAAGAGCACTGGGGGTGGCATTAAAGCCACAACATCCCTTAGGAAGAACTCACACCGTGATGGGAGCTGCTCTGTGAGGTCACTGGTGCCACCGGCACTGCAGAGGGAGCTGTGAATGGCCGCTCCTGGCTGGGTCTGTGTTAGTGCTACGCCTGCACCGGGG